TTGATGCATCTTTTCATCTTAAGAAGAACACAGTCAAAGAGTCTTAATGGTTTCAACAGTATTACAAGTGACTTAGGGAAACATACTCAAAGACTGTTAATGGGTTAGACAGTATTATAAGTGATTTAAGTCATCCCTTACATATGGTATCTTTAGTTACCTTTTGAAGAGGCTATAATCTTACATTTCTTTAAGAAGCCACTTGAAGACTGGTTTTCTCCTAAGTCACACTTCTTTGGCAAGAAACTGAATTCATTAAGTGGCTCCCCAAAATAAGATTCCCACCTCCTATCATAGGGAGCGATATCACAGCATTCGTTTCATAAAACTTTCAAGTTCCTGTATTATTCTTATAGAATCAAGGCTCTTATAACACAGAAGCCTTCTAATATTTGAAAACCTTAGAGGTACATGTGAGTGTGTGCCTGTGTGTATGTGCAGAGTATTTCCAAACTACTGTAAAGAGATACCCCATTTGCTAAGTTTCTAAGAACAGTTCAGTTCTCTAAAAAAAAAGGCAGTACCAGAGGCTGCATGCTTTGTTTGGCTCTCTCCCAGATAGTTCTTAGCATTAGATGGCTTTGGTTTTTCAGAAAAAGGTTCATGGAAAGGTTTTAAGTGTATAAATTTAATTGTTTTCTTCCTAAAGACAGAACTGAATTCAATATCCAAATCGATCTTCATGATGGCAAAAAATACCCCCAGAAACAGAAAGACAAGAATGAGGAAACTGTGGCTATTTTGGTCAGCTTCAGTTTCTTCATCTCCGTGGATTATCCTGTATCCAGTCTCCTGAAGCCTTCCTTGAGTGACCTCACACAGAGCTCTCTAGCTGTCTCATCCATTTCTTACAAAGAATATCCAGTATACCAGATGCAGCAAGGCCACCAGGGCTTGTATTTGCTCCCTGATCCTTTCTTCCTGCTGTTCTCAAAGAATCCAGTTTTAGACCAGGACAGAGCATTGCTTCAGGTAGCCTGCTTCTTTTATACTGGATAATCTTCATCATCATCATCCTCTTGCTTGTATGCTTTTCTAAAGTAAAGTAAAACCTATTCACAGGCCCATGTTCTGCCAGGGCTGTAAGCCTTATGAGCCAGGATGGTGACCAGAGCCTTGTGGAAGCTGCTTCCTATCCTGGGCTATCTGCAGCCCAAGACTTGGGAGTTGTGGTTACTTCAACTGCCATAAGGCATCCTCCTCAAAGTGCAGAGTAGACTCTCTTGCCTCTAAAGCTCTTTGACACCACATTCACAAATTCACAAAGGAAAGTTGCTCCTGACACACAGGCAAGGCTTTGGAGTAACAAGAAACCTAGAGACAAAAGCTACTCTGTAATAGTTCAACTCACCACTGAAGATTGTGTACCAAAGAAGAGATGCCCACCTCCCTAGCCACACCGGCCATTAGCATGGTGCATACAGAAGATGCCCTAGTAAATAACTGAGGGTGCCAAGGGAGAAGAGCAGACTAGCCATGTGTATGTAGCACTCAGTTCTCTACCAACAACCATTTCTTTAACCTTGCACCAGCCACTGCAAGTTGGGTCCTCTGTTGCTGCAAGCATTCAGCATGACACACAGCATCACTCCCAGGGCCCCAAATATGACAGTGGTCAGCTTCCTATGGGAATGGCTTCCCTCTATTCTCCCACCACCACTGCCACCTTGGCACATACTCAGCTTGTGTCACTGCTGAAAGAAAGGCAGGAATGAGTGGCCAATGACTAGGGGAATGAGGAGCCAAGGCTAAGGAACCATAGTGAGGGAGGCAGAATAGGCAAGGCGAAGGGCACAGTAACCAGCTGCAGCAAACAAAAGTCATTCAACTTAAGGAGTTCAATTTTGTGCAGGAATCTAGGCAGAGCTAGGGCTCTAGAACCAGATGGCATTGTGGTAAGAGCACATCTGAGTATCAGACAAGAGAAGAGGGCTATGGATCAGACTCTGGCAGGCTCAATGTAGCCAGTAGTTGTATGAATGGTTTACAGCTGAGACAAAGAATATGTAACAGAATAACCAAGACAAGAGAAAAACAATTTATTAGGAGCACACCTCCAAATTAAGGAACCAGGAGTTCTGCTGAAGTTATAGGGGCCGGGCAATGGAAGAAGAGTTACTAGCACCAAGATAGATCTAGATAACAGGGTTCAGGCCTAGGCTTTTATAAGATTTCTGTTGATGCAGAAGCTACTGACACAAGGCCAGGTGGAAACAAGTAATTGGGAGCACCAGGTTGGTGTACAGAGTGGGTAGGTGAGATAAAGCACTAGCCTCCAGCAGGTAATCTTGTTAAGTGAATAGAGAGATATATTGAATGAGGCCAACAAGAGTGTCACTAGGAGTATCTTGAGCCCAAAATGGCAGAGCCAAACTTTGACACTGGAAACGGCCACAAACAATACGGTGCCACAAACAATACGATGCTCAATACGGTTCAGCCCTATTCCCAAATAAGGTCCCCCTGTAGAGAGACCATGTCTGAAATATGGAGACAGCATGCTGATGTGGCAATGTAGGTTTGGAATCAGACAAAACTCAATTCTGTCTCTTACTAGCTGTGACTCTGGCAGATTACTTAACTTCTGTGAGCCTCAATTTCCTTATCTGCAAAATTAGGTTGCCAATAACTTTTATAATAATAGATTTTGTCATAAGGTTTTGTAATAACTAAATTAGTGAGCATATTAAATAGAATACCTGGCCGAAGGCTCAGTGCTCAATAAATGATAGCTATTTTTTTTTTTTTTTTTTTTTGAGACGGAGTCTCGCTCTGTCACCCAAATTCCCAGGATGCACTTGGAGCATCCCAGC